TCCTTTTTTGCATTGGTGAAGAATGTTAAAAACAGATGTGAATTGATGAAAAACTGACATGAGCTGATGAAAAACTGATGTGAACTGATCCGTTTTTTCTTGGAAAAACATGACTGAACTGATGAAAAAAACAGAACGCCATATGAAAGGATCCTTATACTTGTGTAGCACTACCCCCTTAGGGGTTGCTGATGAATTGGGTCCCCCTATAGTCCTACACAGCCAGGCAATCGGCATTCTCCACATAAGCTTCTGTTTAGAGTCAGAAATCAGTCCTTGAGCTTTTGTCTTGTTTATTGAGGGAATTTAGAACTGGAATAGAGTAAGGGGGTATATGATGCCCAAGGGAACCTATAACTACAGACTTTCTACAACTATTCATAAGCTTCTCTTCTGCAACGCAGTCTCTGCTGGAGTGCTAGCCAGCGTCTCCTTGACTTACCATCCCAGATCCTATATGAAATTTTCCTCTCCACCCAGCAATCTGGTGGTTTCCTGAGCAGGGGATCCTTTAGTAGATGAACAGTCCCTAGTATGGTGCTGATCTGGTTTCCCACCAGAGTGCTCCTTCCCCTATCCACCCAGGGGGTGCAGGTGATCCTCTCCTGTACCGCTTGCAGGTTGGCTGCTGCTACCAGGCCTATCAGCTGAGCTGCTCCTTCCCTGCCATACAGGTAGTCCTCGCTCAGGGGACCAGTGAGTTCACAGTTTTCCACACTTTCCAGCTCCAGGCTCACAGGCAGAACCCATGCCACTAGGCTTACTGGTAGCCTTCCTCCTCCAGCCTCACATCTTCCTCCAACTCTTGACACCTCTCCCACCACACTCCTCTCCTGCTACTGAGCAGGCTCCTACACTTTTAAGGGAGTCCAAACCCCCTTGCCAAGCCTTCTGTTGGAGATTGGCTGAGGTTCCTCAAGAGTGCAGCCAGCCACTCCTCAGATCCACCTATTGCCTCCAAGGCCCTCCTCCGAAAGCCTCAAAGCAGGGAGGCTGCTCACAGCTTCTGTCTAACCATTAGGATCTAGCTCCCCTAGCTAAACTAGGAGGGTGCAACACATACAAACTAAAGAATTGAGAGTACAACCAAAAAGTCATCCCCATCATGCACCCTTCATTCCACCAGACACAAGTGACGGTACCCCAAATTGATGGTGCAGATGTCACATTTCTGTACTTATATTAGCTTCTGAGCCTAGGACCTCAATTTTGTCCCTTCTGGAGCAACTTAAGAGAGAACAGATTACATTTTCAACACAGCACATTACAGTGCATGATATGTGCAAGAATTACAGTATCTAGCAAAGATGTGAATTTTAAAATTGTACCCTAAAAAAAAAGATGCAAACTTTAAAAAAGAGCATTAGGTTACAGTAGCAATCACTGACGTAAAACATACATTTTCCTTCACAGCTCTATGATATTATTATTATTATTATTACAGTATTTATATAGCGCCAAAAGGTTTGCTCAGCACTGTACATTATAGTGGGGGACAGTACATGAGACAATATAGTAACAAAACAATACACGAGGGGTTCAAGGGCCCTGCTCTTTCGAGCTTACAATCTAGGAGGGAGGGAATAGTGGTACAGGAGGAAGTGGCTGTGGGGGATGGAGTGGTAGAAAGAGTGGAGGAGATCGGCTGTTAGGTGAGAGTGGGGTAGGCTTCCCTGAAGAGATGGGTTTTCAGGGTGCTCCTAAAGGTGAGGAGGGTAGGTGACAGTCTGATGGATTGGGGTAGTGATATTCTTAACAGTTTAAACAGTTAAACACTAATATCTGTTAAAACAAGTTCACACAGTGGAAAGTGTAAGCTAAGACTTAACAGCTTGCTAAGAAATGTAAGCAATTGCTTATTTGATGCCAGAGTAATTCAATTCTTTCCAAAGTTTTATTGTAATTTAGGCTTTTAGGCCCCATGCACACTGGGGCTCTTCTAAACACTTCTCCTGGCAAGAGAGAAGCAGCTTCAAAAAAGCACATAAGCCTCTTTATTGCAAACGCATTTAAGTGCGTTTAGGCATGTCAAGCTCATGGGCTTTCATTCCTTTGCCAGAATATAAATTTAGCTGTCGGTGTCCCCCAATTTAGTTGGGGCTGAATCTGCAGCACAGAGAGCCTATGGACCTACCAGGAGATACGGGAGAGAGCTAAAGAGTTAACATACTCTACAAGTAGATGTCTGTGCTTTGTGTGTTGCGGGACTTCCATATTTTCACTGGGAATGAGGTGGTAATTAAAGTGTTTAATAAACCCAGGACCCTGCATTCACTTAAGCTTAAAAAACTTAATTTGATCTGGTATAACCTCCCATTTATGAAAAAACAATATGCTGTGATTGCCCTTTAAAATTTAAAAAAAACTATATAATTGTTGGCAGATCTAAAGTAGACTGAACAATCAGATTGTAGCCAGCTTTATATACAGTATACTAACAACTAAGTCTGATTGACTATCACAGTGACAAGTCACTGTACAGCCCTTCCCTGTGTTTTTCTCCTCTTGAATGGAGAAAAAGATACATTGTATTTGTTTCTCATTGTTAGAGGAGAAAAGTAAAAGGAAGTGTGTGTAAAAAATAATAATAATAAAATAATAAGAATAATATTTTTAATTATAAAATATAATAATAAAATAGCTATATCAGGGTTTGATCTAGGTCAATGTTAGTGTCATGCGCATGCGAGGTACCGTCAGGGTCAAAGGTCAAAGTTAATGAATTTTAGGCAAGTAACTGTAATTTAGTATCAGTGTCAGTTAGGGGGATGTAACGGCAAATGCTGGGTGTAATAATTAAAAGCAAATCATATACACGCACTCAATCAACATGTAGTCATACAGGTACTTTTAATCAGCATTTACACCATTACATATTCTACGCATGTGAAAGACAATCTACCCAATGAATACCTGTCCTGGCACATCATAGCATTCTCTCGGCACTCCAAGGAATAACAGAATCCAACTGCAATATCCTTGCACTGTCAAAACCTCCACTTTTCACAATCTGCATAATAACACATACCAATAATAATGTGAGCATTACAGAATGAAATAGACACATCAATTGACAGCGTCACAGCATAGAATTAATACATTACCAAAGCTATGTGGAAGCAGGAAAAAAACAAATCCCATCGGAACCATACTGCCCAGGGGGTCACGGGGAAGCCGTAAGCGCAACCAATTGATGAGGCCATTTAGCCTTTGCAAGAATCCCAGTGTCAGAGGGTCCCCTGGCCACTAGGGGGCTTCCTATCGGTCTCACTTGGACTCCTAGCTTTTAACCTCCCTGGCGGTATTCCCGAGTGTAGCTCGGGGTAACATTTCAGTACCAAAAGCGGTAACCCCGAGCTACACTCGGGAATACCATGCGGCACTGCTCCGGCATGTGTTCTTCACTTACCTTACCCTGCGCTCCCACGATGTGTCCCCTGCAGCGTCCCCGGCCATCTCCTCCGGCCGATGCCGGCATCCGGCTTCTGTGTCCTGTCCCTGTGACGTCGGGACGTACGGGCGCCGCCGCGGCGGCGGCGGGGAAATTTAAAAATTTTTAAAAATGTCATTTTTTTTTTTTTTTACATTTTACATAGTAAAACATTGCTGTCTCAACCAATTTCACATACATATTGTCCCTAGTGCTTTGTCCTGCGCCCTGCCTGCATTTTGTCTGTTCTTTCTGCCTGGAAACTGAGAAATGTCCATGGCGTCCAAAAAGTGTCCCTTTAGGTCAAAAGCGGTTTAGATCAGCTAGAGAACAGCGATAGTAAATTAGAACCACTTGCAGAATTGAGTGATAATGATTCGTGGGGAAATTCGTCATCAGACACTGAAAACGATTTTGCGACTGAGCTCAGCAATGTGCGAACTTGGCGCTATATTTCACATTTCAGTGTTTTTGGTTTGATTATATTATTGAATTAAATTTTTTATTATTTTTATATTATTTTTATGATTATTTATTAAATTATAATTTATGATTTTGTGTTTCAAATTTTATCATACCCGGGATGTTTACTAGACTCTTGTTCGGACAGATTTCAGTGAGTTTTTCCTAAAAATTACAGCCTACAATAAAAAAAATACATATTTCCATGCAAAAAAAATGGTACCGCTTTCAGCACCAAAAATATGAAATAATCATACCGCCAGGGAGGTTAAACCATTTTTTCTGCAAGCTTTCCAATAGTGGGAGGGTGCCACACCCACCATAGGAGGAGCTAGCAGAAAATTTCCGCGGTGATAAACAGTGTCACGCTCAGCCACCGTATTGATTCCTCATCGTTATCTGAAAAGCCACACTTTTACTTCAGTTCAGCTTCTTATCTACCCTAAACTTCTTCTCATCTACCCTAAACTTAAATATTTCTAACTTTTCAAGCAAGTAGACATCTTTACACAGGTTCTAATGTGACATTACTAGATGTCATAAACACGTTTAATTCCATAAACAAGTTTTTATCTTACTCTAAGCAGAATATCTTGTGACTCTGTTCCTTTGGCTTAGAGAAATGACATGAGTCACTTTGCATGCTCCTGGCATTTGGGCAACAATGCTTTATTGTAAAAATTACCCAAGAAACAAAGGGTCCAAGGCCAACACATTTCATAGGCATAGAGATTTACTAAAACTGGAGAGTGCAAAATCAGGTGCAGTTTTACATAGAAACAATAAGCTTCCAAGTTTGGCAAAGCTTAAAGTGTTACTAAACCCAGGACCCTGCATTCACTATATTTGGTCTCCCACAGTACACAGAGCATGGAAATGCAATTATTTTAGTAAATATAAACTGCTAAATACCTTTTCTTATCAGCAGTATATAGCAGTCTTGTGACTTCTATCAGTGTCCAGCCAAGCACATATTAAAGCTTGTAGGAGGAGTTTTCATTCTGCCCTAGGAGGATGCAGGACACTTTGACCTCTGTCTGGACAGTGCTGATTGGCCCTGTGCTGATCACATGCACTCTCCCAGAAAAAAAAAAAAAAAAAAAAAAAAAAAAAAAAAAAAAAGCTCTGTAGTAATGTAATACACACCAAACTGAGCATGTGTAGAGTGACTCCACACGATATGTCTTATCAGGAGATAAGAGGGGAACACTGGAAGAAGGGGAGGATCAGAGGAGTCAGGATAAAACAGCCTTTTTATACAGCGCAGAGGATTAACCCCTTAGGTTCCACAGTGAATATAACAAGCATGCTTTACTGCATATACAGACTGATTTTACCGTTTTGAATTTAGTAACACTTTAAAATTGAACAAGTGGAGGAGGACACAGGCTTCGCAGTGTTCCTCTCAAAATGCTGCAATTCAGGATGATAAGGTGTACAGTAGAGTGTCTCACAGTAAAGAGCCTTAAGTTTAATGTGTATCTGTGCAAGGTAAATGGCTTGATGCTAAGGGCAGAGTGCTGCCTTAATGCTGATTTTTTCATGACCACGACCCCCCACCTGGTCCCTTTGCCATTAGCAATACGACTGACAAAGCACATTAAAGTAATACAATCGGTCTGTCCACTCCACAAGCTCCTGGGGTTGGGAGAACATCATCAAAGATCCAAACAGCATACGCATTTCGAGGGCAGTACCCTCTTTCTTGGAACAAAGCCCAGACACAAGTGCAATGGACGGACCGATTGTCTTACTTTGATGTGCCTTGTCAGTGACATCGCTTGTGAATAGGTATATTAACTCATGACCTTACCATTAAGATCAACAGCACAACCATTGGTCCTTCCCCTCATGCCAAGGTGCTAGGCGTAATCCTAGACTTTGACCTCTCCTTTGGGCCCCACATCCACTCACTGGCTAAATCCTGCTGCCTCAACCTCCAGAACATTTCCAAAATCCTCCCCTGCCTGACCAATGACACCACAAAACAACTTATCCACGCCTTGGTTATATCCCTCCTCGATTACTGCAACTCCCTCCTCACGGGTCTACCGTTACACAGGCTATCCCCCCTTCAGTCTATTATGAATGCTGCTGCTAGACTCATACACTTTACCAACCGATCAGCGACTGCTGCCCCTCTCAGCCAATCTCTTCACTGGCTTCCACTAACCCATAAAATTCAAAATTCTAACCACAGCTTACAAAGCCATCCACAACACTGCCCCTAGCTACATCACTAACCTCATCCACAGATACCACCCAAATCGCCCACTCTGCTCCTCCCATGATATTCTCCTCTCTAGTTCCCTCATCACCTCCTCCCACGCTCGCCTCGAGGACTTCTTCAGAGCCTCTCCCATCCTCTGGAACTCCCTACCACAGCATGTCCGGTCAGCCCCCACCCTGTCTGCCTTTAGGCGATCTTTGAAAACTAATTTCTTCAGGGAAGCCTACCCCACCTCCACCTAAGAACTGTACATGAATCACCTCCGCCAGATCATGCCCCGCAGCTGTCACCTCTTACCGTCAGGTCCATAAATATTAGGACATCGACACAATTCTAACATTTTTGGTTCTATACACCACCACAATGAAACAAACAAGATGTGCTTTAACTGCAGACTGTCAGCTTTAATTTGAGGACATTTACATCTAAATCAGGTGAATGGTGTAGGAATTACAACAGTTTGCATATGTGCCTCCCACTTGTTAAGGTACCAAAAGTAATGGGACAATTGGCTTCTCAGCTGTTCCATGGCCAGGTGTGTGTTATTCCCTCATTATCCCAATTACAATGAGCAGATAAAAGGTCCAGAGTTCATTTCAAGTGTGCTATTTGCATTTGGAATCTGTTGCTTTCAACTCTCAAGATGAGATCCAAAGAGCTGTCACTATCAGTGAAGCAAGCCATCATTAGGCTGGAAAAAAAAAAACAAACCCATCAGAGAGATAGCAAAAACATTAGGCGTGGCCAAAACAACTGTTTGGAACATTCTTAAAAAGGAGGAACGCACTGGTGAGCTCAGTAACACCAAAAGACCCGGAAGACCACGGAAAACAACTGTGGTGGATGACCGAAGAATTCTTTCCCTGGTGAAGAAAACACCCTTCACAACAGTTGGCCAGATCAAGAACACTCTCCAGGAGGTAGGTGTATGTGTGTCAAAGTCAACAATCAAGAGAAGACTTCACCAGAGTAAATACAGAGGGTTCACCACAAGATGTAAACCATTGGTGAGTCTCAAAAACAGGAAGGCCAGATTAGAGTTTGCCAAATGACATCTAAAAAAGCCTTCACAGTTCTGGAACAACGAGACCAAGATCAACTTGTACCAGAGTGGTGGGAAGAGAAGAGTATGGAGAAGGAAAGGAACTGCTCATGGCCCTAAGCATACCACCTCATCAGTAAAGCATGGTGGTGGTAGTGTCATGGCGTGGGGCATGTATGGCTGCCAATGGAACTGGTTCTCTTGTATTTATTGATGATTTGACTGCTGACAAAAGCAGCAGGATGAATTCTGAAGTGTTTCGGGCAATATTATCTGCTCATATTCAGCCAAATGCTTCAGAACTCATTGGATGCCGCTTCACAGTGCAGATGGACAATGACTCAAAGCATACTGCAAAAGCAACCAAAGAGTTTTTTAAGGGAAAGAAGTGGAATGTTATGCAATGGCCAAGTCAATCACCTGACCTGAATCCGATTGAGCATGCATTTCACTTGCTGAAGACAAAACTGAAGGGAAAATGCCCCAAGACAGTTGCAGTAGAGACCTGGCAGAGCATCACCAGGGATGAAACCCAGCGTCTGGTGATATCTGATATACTGTATAATAAAAATAATTTACAGTTTTTAATAAATGGTTTTATAGATAATGTGCTAGGCTGGTTCGCCATCTCTTTTTTGTTTCCTCAATTGTCTTTGGGACATCCCCAGTCTGGTGAGGGCAGCAAGGTGTTGTGCATTTATATCTTTATATTTGGGGTGCAGCATGGTGCGGCAGTAGTAACACACACAGTCCAGGTGCACTGAAAGAACTTGTATTGAAATAATGCAAATACAGTTCATATTAAATCTGGCAGAAAGCCAACTCAACCTGGAACACTCACAGATCCAGCAGTGTGTAGAGAATACAGTTCAGCCGATCAGACAGGGCAGAGTGCGTCCCGGCAGTCTCGTACCACCTTAATCAGCCATATATAATAAGGTGGCTGATTAAGGTGGTAATTAAACTCACTTAGTGCCTTATCTGCATTAAATTATAACCAGAACTAGTGATGGGGTGAACATCCCCCTGTTCGGTTTGTGTTCGAACATTCAAGCCTACTGAAAGTTCGACTGCGAACTTCCAACAGGGACAATTCACTAAGCCGCATCTTATCGCATCTGAGTATGTAGTAAGATACCGCACAGCTACTAAAATACTACATGCATTATATTATTAAGTCATGCTGTATTTTAGTAGTGAAGACACTCTTTATTGTTTCAGCTGTCAGTGGGGTTCCCCGCTGATAGCTGAATGTAAAAAGAATTGCCAGAATGCCCGGGAAATTAAATTTAAAAAAAATGCATGGGTTTCCCCCTATACATACCAAGCCCTTCGGGTCTGGTATGGATTTTGAGGGGAACCCCCATGCCAACATTTTTTTAAAAATGGAGTGGGTGTCCCCCCCAAAGTCCATAATAGACTCTTATCCAAGCATGCAGTCCAGCAGGTCAGGAAAAGGGGGGGGGGGGGTTCGAGCGAGAGCCCTGCTCTTAAACCATACCAGGCCACATGTCCTCAACATGGGGGAAGTGCTTTGGGGCAGGGGGGCTCCCCCCCCCAGAGCACCTTTTCCCCATGTTGTTGTGGACAAGGGCCTCTTCCCCACAACCATGGATGGTGGTTGTGGGGTCTGCAGGGGTGGGAGGCTTATCGGAATCTGGAAGCCCCCTTTAACAAGGGATCCCCCAGATAGGGTTGCCACCTCATCCCTTTAAAATCAAACATACAGTGAAGGAAATAAGTATTTGATCCGCTGCTGATTTTGAATGTTTGCCCACTCACAAAGAAATGATCAGTCTAAAAATTTAATGGTAGGTGTATTGTAACACTGAGAGACAGAATAGCAACAAAAAATTCAAAAGAAATGCATGTCTAACAAATGATGCACCAATTGCATGTTCATGAGGGAAATATGTATTTTATCCCTTTCACAAAACATGAATTAGCACTTGGTGGCAAATCCCTTGTTGGCAATCACAGAGGTCAGACATTTCCTGTAGTTAGCCACCAGGCTTGCACACATCTCAGGAGGGATTTTGGCCCACTCCTCTTGGCAGATCCTCTCCAAGTCATTAAGGTTTGGTGGCTGACGTTTGGCAACTCGAAATTTCAGCTCCCTCCACAGATTTTCAATCGGATTAAGGTCTGGAGACTGGCTAGCCCACTGCAGGACCTTAATATGCTTCTTCCTGAGCCACACCTTTGTTGTCTTGGCCATGTGTTTTGGGTCATTGTCATGCTGGAACACCCATCCACGACCCATTTTCAATGCCCTGGCTGAGGGAAGAAGGTTCTCACCCTTTGATGCGGTGCAGTTGTCCTGTCCCCTTAGCAGAAAAACACCCCCAAAGCTGAATGTTTCCACCATTTTGTTTGACAGTTGGGATGGTGTTCTTGGGGTCATAGGCAGCATTCCTCCTCCTCCAAACAAGGCAAGTTGAGTTCATGCCACAGAGCTCGATTTTGGTCTCATCTGACCACAACACTTTCAAACAGTCCTCCTCTGCATCATTCAGATGTTCAGTGGCAAACTTCAGACGGGCCTAGACATGTGCTTTCTTGAGCAGAGGGACCTTGCGGGTACTGCAGGATTTCAATCCTTGTCGGCGTAGTGTGTTTTCTTGTTTTCTTGGTGACTGTGGTCCCAGCTGCCTAGAGATCATTGACAAGATCCTCACATGTAGTTCTGTGATGATTCCTCACTGTTCTCATAATCACTGACAACCCACGAGGTGAGATCTTGCATGGTGCACCAGACCTAGGGAGACTGACAATTGTTTTGTGTTTCTTCCATTTGCGAATGATTGCAACAACTGTTGTCACCTTCTCACCAAGCTGCTTGGCAATAGTTTGGTAGCCCAGTCCAGCCTTGTGTAGGTCTACAATCTTGTCCCTGACATCCTTGGACAGCTCTTTGGTCTTTGCCATGGTGGAGAGTTTTGAATCTGATTGTTTGATTGCTCCTGTGGACAGGTGTCTTTTATACAGGTAACAAAATGAGATTAGCAGCACTCCCTTTAAGAGACTGCTTCTAATATCAGCTTGC